GTCACTTCTTGCTGATAAGCAAAAGGTCGTCAGCGGAAGTGCATTTCCGCAAGTGCACTAATTTCAGTGGAGTTGGCGATTTCGTAATAAAAGTTATGTTTTGTTTAGTCAGCTTGGGAACGGAATTAATTTATATTGAATTTTACAGTTTAGGGTGTTAACTAACATGCCGTTACACAAATACTTATGTTCCTGAAAGTATGTAGGAAACATTTCTCTGTCCCACAGTTCCATATGGCGGTACAACTAACTATTTAGGCATAAACCGATACACATATGTACATACATACATACATATAACTTTTATGTATCCATTACATTTTCTTACTTACATGCGCACTGCTACATACATATATATCTCTGCAAACAAATCAATGCATATGTAAATTTAACAATTTTTTCACCAACTTAAAAGGCTGCTTACATAAAAAGTTATACGTTTATTTATTTATTTATAATATATATGTGGTTTATTTGTAGATACATATAGATATCTTGTTTTTCAATAGGCGCACAGCAATTAGCAGGCGAACGAGTTCTGCTCACAGCGCCGCTTTGCAATTGTAGATACATATGTATGTATGTGTTTATTCACCAAAACCAATGCGAGCAAGCAACAACATAACTGCTCATTGGCATATGTTTTCACATACAATTTACTATTGCTCATATTCAAAGTCGTACTTACATATGTATATACGTATGCCTATTTATGTGCCACATGTGTGGGAATATACTCGCTCGAGTCCATAGCTATGCGTGTGTGCTTGCTAGCGCTTAGTCATATCTAGATACTTGTTCTACATAATGAACAGCTGGGCTGAGCTCGTATAAGTCGAACAGCAATTTCTCACGCATAAGCGAGGCAAATAGCATGTAGAGTGTGAATTTGAAATGTACATACATACATTGTTACATTGACTGCTCTATACGTATGTATGTATGCCTATATATCTGCATTTCTTCAAAACACACCAGAAATGCTTTGGAAGGAGCATAGAAATGAAACGCTAATTTTTTTCCTTTATGCTTTTCAATTTAGTTATTGCTATCACGTTTCACCTTCTCGTTCAAACCATTTTGTGGTTTCGATGAAGTTACTAATGTCCGGTATGCTTTTTGTAGACATCCATTCAAGGTTCGTACTTGGTGGATTCCAAGCGTTCTTTGTCGTATCTGCGATAAGGCTGGGCATTCACAGAGAGTTATTACCCCAGACATCGCTACAATCTCCGCAGAAATTATTTCGATCGGACCACTATAACGTATAGCTGCCATATAAGCTACAAAAAATTGACAGAGGTACAGCCTCAAGTGAAACAGCAAGCCGTAATTTCTATATTAACTGCCGTCCGCGTGAATGAAGGCCAAAAACCTTACAAGACGGTGAATTAAAGTCGTTGCACGATGAATATCCGTTTCAAACRGAAGAAGACCTTGCATTCATTGGGAGGCACACGATTATACATTTTAAAACGACTAAATGCGCTGATAATGACTCAGAARCGAGGAACTTGGCGTTGAGCGTCACCTTTTTACCTGTGAACAATTACTTCTACGGCAAAAAAGAAAGGATTTTATTCATCGAACCGTAATGAATATGCATTACAGCAATCCAAAAAAAGAAAACCATGGAGACTAGGCGGTCATGCTTCAACGTCGTCAGCTCAGCCGAATATTCACGCTGCGAAAGTTATGCTCATGTATTTGGTAAGACCAAGTCGGCGTTATATTATTATGAGCTGTTTAAATGAAATTAAAACATCGAACACTACACCAGAAGTGGCAAGAAAAAGTGATTCCGATGCATGACAATGTTTGCTCCGTTCGCTGACACATGGTCTGGCTCTATATCGGCAGCGGAAAATGGCTTGATTGTTGGACATCAACACAAAATTAAGAGTTTCGTCGTAATGATATGCATGCTTTGCCAGCATGATGGGAAAAAGTTATAACTTGAAAGAGCGAAAATATAGTTACTCACCTAATCAGTTTTAATTCCCTTTTATACTATAAAAATTGCATTTATGGAGGGTATTATGACTTTAAAGCAGCCAAAGTTAATGTTTTTTCTTGGTTTTGAATCACTTCGGATACACTTTTTGCAAAGTGCGTTCTTGTAGAAGACCAAATTTCGTAAGAAATCCTTTTTTGGCACTTTAAAAGTATAATAATCCTTTTTTCAGAAATCTAGACTACGAAGGATATTTTTTTCTAGATCGAAATGCTGTCCGATACCTCTCGATCGCTCATATATTTAAAACATAACTAAAAATTCTGTTTTGTATATTAGGTATATTATTTCTTGTAATATTGGTTAGTCGAAAAAGTCTTTTCGTATTTCTAATCAAACTTCAACTTATTCTTGTTTCATTTATAGTAATAAATAAATGAACAAATATGCACCATTTTGGTCGAACATATACATATGTGCATACATACATACATATAKTATTATAATTTKAACCCATAATATGTTTTTATTGTTATTAGTTTTGACTCACCTTAATATAAATAATTATTTTCTGCTTTTCAGTTATCAGAAGCAGTCAAATTTTAAACACTCACTATTTAACTGTACCTTTCTCTCCTTTTTGGTCCTAAAATTTATATTATTTAATCAAAAATATATTTTGTAAAACTTATTTATTATTTATTTAAGAATTTAAAACTAACAACGTCTTCAATCGTCAAAATACTACAAGATACTAAAAGACTAACGAACTTATATTCCAATCTTAATAGTGGCAGTTTTCAGGCAAGAAATAAACTTTAATTTGTGATGCTAAAAASCATTCATTGCATATTTCAGAAAAGAACACACGACACTACACTACGTTTTTTGTTGCTGTCTTATGAATGCGCATATTAATTGCAGTATTGAATATTTATAACTGCAAACAAAACTTTTTTTCTAATTACACATCAGTTTATTTTTGGACCCTATTTTTGTTATATTTGTGTACCTTAGATGCAATGTTTTTCGTTGTGACGGTCTTGGGTKAGGATAGGTTAAAAGGTCGATTACAACATAGAACTCAGATCACATTTGGACAGCTCGTCCGTCCCATCCGTCCGTTGTGATACCCAGAACTCTCATAAAATGGATCTGAAAGGCAATCATAAACGAACAAAGCACTTGAGGCAATTATCAGTTAAGTCTGCTGATTCGCCAAAGGTATGACTAACGAGAAGTTTCTACTTCWGGCTTGTAAWAACTTGASCATGCRAGAGTAAGAACTGCTTTGATTGCGGTAAGATAAACCTTGCTAAGGGCAAATAGCTSAGTAGATCTCCTAAATTCTATACTAGGCCGGMAAGGTCTCGCAGTCAAGCAGATGCTTCTCGTCAACGAGTTAAGCGTATGCCAGGCTCATAGGTYCAGTGCTACAGYGCAAGATGACAACGCCGTCTCGTTTCTATTCCGATGGGCGCAAGMTAGGGTGCCTCTCCTGCAAGGCCATCGGTGAAGCAATTTCGAGCAATCTTGCTTTGGTCAGGCACCCAAATTAGTGCGATAATAGAATARTTAGACATTGATKCACTAACTTTRAGTGCACAGCTTCCGAGGTCAACRCTASTATTRTCGCTCTGCTGYCTGAGTGAATGCTCRYMTCCCTGAAAAATATTGCACTTCGGAGCAGTAAGCCTACTTCTACTTTAATAGCAGCCGCTTCTGCTTGAAAAACGCTACAGTGGTCCGGTGGTCTAAAGCTAAGCTTGACGATCTTAAAACATACATATAAAAAAAGCTGTTTAAAGGATCAGAAAAAATAAAAAAATTAAGAGATATAACTCAAGAATTTTAACTGSCAGAAGTTCTAATATATAATATCGGTAAAAACAGGCTTTCGACTGATTTGAGACTGAAAGGGACAATGACAAGGTAGGATCTATGATCTGTTCCACTCTTGAACAGAAATTGCTGTTGCRGCTTGTAGTACCAGGGATATTTGCATCACATGGACAACCATCAACTAAGGTATCACTTGACCCATGAAAACAACAAATTTACAAATTCATMTCTTTTAATATCATACTCATAAATCATTTTTTATTAACAATCTACTGCTTTCCTTATACAACTCTTCTATTATATCCGCATATTTCTCGCAAATGAAAGCACGTCGCGACTTCAAAGTGGGACCTTAAGGCAAATAAGTTAAAAAGTTGGTGGAGAAACGATTTGTATACTATATAGCTTCTCATCTTACCTAACTCGCCTGTTGGCACTGTGAAGTCATGAGGCAATAATGCGAATTTCTGAACCCTTTGGGCACGTGATAAAGCATTTTTGTTGGCACGAGTCAAACCAGCTTCTACAGCCGCAACAACCTTTTGGTTCGGCTTAATAACTGATCCTTTATAGTCAAAGCTCGGTGTAAACGCCGGTATATTWAGAACTTCCGACAAGCGCGTTTGGTGAATGTCAAGCGACTTCAACCAAGAGACAGTATCCAAATGCAGAGTGTCAAACGGTAAGCCAGTGGCGTTGTCAATGTCCGTCTGAAAGAGAAAATAAAAATGTGAACTTACACTAAATAATATACCAAATAAGGCACCCACTTTCAGTGTTAGTAGTACAACCAAGAACTTTCTTTTATCGCCCACCACCAACGCGTTACTGACACATGGTAGTTCGGCTTTGATGCGGTTCTCAATATATAAAGGTGGTATATTCTCCCCGCCTGCGGTAATCACAATATCCTTTATGCGTCCGGTAATATGTAGGCAGCCGTCAGTACTCAAGTGCCCCACATCCCCACTATGCATCCAACCATCTGAGTCGATGCATTCGTGGGTCTTCTCCTCGTTGTTAAGGTAACCCATCATTATACATCGTCCGCGTAGGCAAATCTGTGAAAATTTAAACAAATACTATTTAAWTGTTCAAAGAACTTAAATAAAGAGGAATGAGTACCTCTCCCTGYCCCTGCTCATTCGGCTTATCGATCTTAACTTCGATTCCTAACATTACTCTGCCACTACTCTCCAAATGACAATAGCTGCGTGTTATTGTCATAGCACCTCCTGCCTCCGAAGCACCGAACATATCAGCGACCGGTATGTCCATGCTGAGGAAGTACTTCTTCGCTTGCGCCGATAATGGAGCACCGCCAGCCCAAAGGTAAGCGCAGCGACCGAGGCCGACTTGAGCTTTAAACTTACGCACGATCAATGAAGCGCATATGTAACTGAGGGTCCTCTTTGGTTCACTAAAAATATACATATGTGTTTCAGAAAATACAAATGATTATATAATATATATTCAAGAGGGAATACTGTGCAGCGTACTTACAGGCCATCGGCATTGCAGAAATAGCTCTTCAATAAGACTCGCTTGGCCCAACTCGAGAGCAAGCGMCACAAGTACGAGGAGTTCGCTTCGGCTACCAGCAGTTCTTCTTGTATTTTCTCGTAAACGCGTGGTACGCCAAATAAACGCGTTGGCTGCGCAATTCGTAAGTTTTTTATCAATTTTCCTTTCAGCGCATCTCGATCCGCGAAATAGACACAATCTCCGCATAGCAAAGGCATCAAAACTTCGAAGAGTTGTGCGGCGACGTGATTTAGCGGCAAATACGACATTGTTACACCTGGCTCCYTCCTAAAAGGTCCAACGGTTGCATAACAAAATTTAATATTTGATACGATGGCATCGTGAGAAAGCATTACTACTTTCGGAAGTCCCGTTGTGCCAGACTAAAAAAGAATACAACTGTTAAAGTACTGTACATTTAAGAGTTATCTTATATACAACCGTAAAAATGAGTAATGCGCATTGATTCGCCGCGATCTGTTTCTCTTTAARGAACAATTCTTGCCGCAGCTGGGGATCAAATGACAATGACATCAAGTCCGACCACAGGTAATAGCCACCGACTGCTCTCAAATTATCCTCATAACTCTCTTCCAACAATATAACTGCACGCAGTAGCGGCAACTCCGTCCTTACGGCAMACACCTTCGCCAACTGCGTCGCATCGCCAACCACGCAAACCGTGGCAGCCGACGCCTCCAACGCATGCTTGACTGCCTCTGGCGAGCTGGTCAAATAGATGCCCGAGACCACGGCACCGACCAGTAGCGCGCCGAACTGCACATAATACCACTCGGGACAATTGTGAGCCAGCACACAGACATTACTGTTCTCGGTGAGCCCGATGTGCAAGAGCGCAAGTGCCGCTTTCTCGACATTTCGCTCGTACTCTGCATATGTTGTGGTCGTCCAAGTGTTGTTGRTATGAGCTCCGTTTTTGTTGTTATACCGCTCATAAGCCAACGCTGGCGAGTGTGGAAAACGCTGACAACAATCACGAAASAGTTGTGGTATGGTCTGCGGTGCTGCCGCTGTGAGACCCTGCTTGCCAATGCGCAGACGTACGGGCTCCGAAAAACTCGTTGATACGAAACTGGTAGCGAGTTTCAGACGGTTTAATATGGTATATTCTTCAGCTCCTTCCGACATTGCGCATAACAGCTTCCACTTTGAACTGCAAGTACATAGAAATGGTAAAAGGATTAAAACGTAATCATGTACTGAGAGCCAAGCTCAAGAAGACAAGTATAGTCGGGTTATASAGTTTTAATTTTGAATTTTGTGCTATTCTTAAAAGACTTCTTGTATTTTTCGTTAGTCAACTATTTTATCTGAATTATGTGTGCGTATGTCTGTACACAGCTTTTCACCACCGCTCCACCTTCCTATTTACTCCATGTCTCTGCCTGCTTGCATATGAAACTCACTGCAACAACAATCAAAAGTTACGCAATTCACATCCGCTTTTCACTTCCTATTGGCTTACACCACACACGCTCACACATGTGTGCACTGCCATCACCCACCCCTCCTCCTGCTGTGTTGCATTTGCTGTTTTTCGGCAAGTCTTTGCGAATTTTATGTTCTGCGGCTGCATTGGCCGCCACTACACCGGATGCTGCTGCTGCTGCGGTTGCTGCCGCTTTGACTGCTCAGTTTTGCTGCTGGTTGCGGCTTCTCGCCTGTTACACATATCGGCACTTTTTGTTAAAATTCGCACAGATTTTTACTTAAATTATTTAATAAAAACTTTTACTAGTGAAAAGGYTTCAAATTTTTACTAAATTTAGTTTGCCAGCCGTTTTGTTATTCCAAAACTATAATTTTGAGCATTTGCTAGCAAATTGCACAGTCGTATTTTTGAAACAAACAGCAGCCACAGTCAGTGAATGACCACAGCTTAAAGCTGGCTGATTGCTGCCGTTTTCCATTTACAGTTATACCTATGCTGTGCAGCACGCAAACTCTCTTTTGTGAGTTTTGAGCGAAATTTTCCAACTTTTCACGTGATTTATTGCGTGGAGTTGCTTTCTGAGTACCCACAAATTTAATATTCATTGTTACCTCGWTTGAGCTATAATATTTGTTAGAGCTCTGTTGCTTTTAAGTTCATTTTTCAACAGAGTTTTTGATAAAAAGTTGCCATAATCGTTGGCAAGTTCACAACTAAATGAGTTTTGCCAAATGTTAAAAGCTTAAATGGTTTTGAAAAAGTATTACAATGGCGCTTTGTTGCTATGATGCTAGAAATTCGTAAAAAAGTATGTTAATGCAAACATAGAAAATAAATCCGCCATTACTAATTTAATAAAAAATTGGCAAGACAAAACTCCGATGGCCTCTCCTCCCGTGGGAGATGCATTAAATCAATTAAATGACGAGAAAATTCCAGTATTAGTTATATTCTTTCTATCCGTTCACGTTAAATCAGAACTGATGACCGACAAATAAAAATTTGACCTTATCAAGAGAAACTCCAATTAACTACCTTCGGCGATTAGAGTCATTAGTCATTCGCCATTCTGAATCCTCTGCTGCCAAAAGCGTAAGAATTTTTTTTTACAAAATTTCTGACACAAATAACAATTTTGTTATTAAGAGACGACAGTCGAGTAAACGAAACCGGAACRGACTCGSATTTTTATCCGGCCAAAGACTGTCAACTCGACAGAATTCTGSCAATACGACCACAACACAGTTTACACATCGTAAACTTCCTACATTTTTAAGCATGGGTCAGAAGCTATTTTCAGTATGTGAAAAGATTGAACTATTTTTAGTAATTYGTTAAAAAACATTCCAAAGTCCTCAGCATACCATCGTAAAAAACTTTTTCTTGCCAWAGTTCATTTTTTCATTCAATATTCATACGGGGAACTACAGCCAAAGGGGATACACTAATTATAGCGGCTCTCCCACTTTTTGTTTTTGCAATACGATTTGTCCTTTGCCTCAAAACAGGWCTCAGTTTAGATGATCACCKCTTCATTCGACGAAAATTTCTTCCYAGSGARCATTYTTTTGAGTTCTAAGRACAGGAAATAGTCGCTGGAGGTCAAATCTAGAGAATAYAATGGATGCAAAAGCAATCCGAAGCCCAATTTTCACTAACTTCTGACACGTTGAGTTGCCTTAGTGAAACAGCACTGTATTTTTCTTCAAATACGGAGGGTTTGCGCCGATTTCGCCCTTCAAACGGTTCCATAATAGTCACAGTTGATAGTCCTTCCTTTTTTATGGCAGTAAGTAAAAATTATTTCATACGCATTCCAAAATACAGATGRCATAATCTTTTTGTGTCGTGGTTTTCCACACTTTGGCGTTGTTTTGAGTGCTCAACAGTGCAATTTTTTCAGTTGACGTGAGTGAGCTCGATTTGTCATGCTGAAGAGTGATCTGTCATCGGCGGTTGATTTTTCAGATTTCTTGAGAGACAACTAGCAAATAAATATAACTCTTTTAAGCGTTTGACAAATTGCGTGACTCCAACGTAAACAATTTTTTTGACAGCCAAATGTTCAAGCAATATGTATTGAGTATATGCTGCTCCCATTAATGCCTACAGTTGTCTCAATATCWCGATAGGCCAATGACGATCTTGCAAAATCAGTATCAATAGTTTCCGCAACAWCAACTGAATTTGAACACCTTCAGGAAATTCCTCTTAGAATGATCTACAACTTTCACTGAATTTATAACTGGTCCTTTATAGACCTTCCTCACCAAAAATTGAATTAAGTTCAGCGACATACCTATGTCTGAGTATGTATAACCCAATTTTCCTAATTTGTAGTATTGGGTGGTCAAAAAAGTATTTTCGTATTTCAATCACATTGTGTCATATCATATAGTGTTGGAGAGGTGAGRTTTTAAGCTTCATTGATTTGATTAGAAATATGAAAAGAGTTTTTCGACTACCCAATATTATTTCTGGTACGAAAGTGATCAACGTTAAATATATCAACGGATCCAAGGCCCTTGGGACCTTCCAGTTATCGGAATCGGATAACATCTAGAAACAAAAAAGTGTAAGGACAAACATAATCACACATACATACATGCATATGAATCGGGTGTCACCAAACATTTTATACTCTCGAATCAAATACCGTATTTGTGTAAAGTTTTATTCCGCTATCATCATTGGATATATTATACAGATAAGGCATCAGATGGAATTCAAAATAGCGTTATATTGGAAGAAGCGTGGTTGTGAACCGATTTAATCCATATTTCGTACCAGTCATTAGGGTGTTAAGAAAATATTATGTACCGAATTTCATTAAAATCGGTCGAATAGTTCCTGAGATATGGTTTTTGGTCCATAAGTGGGCTACACCACGACCATTTTGAATTAAAAGAAAAAAAGCCTGCGTGCAGCTTCCTTCTGCCAWTTCTTCCGTAAAATTTAGTGTTTCTGACGTTTTTTGTTAGTCGGTTAACGCACTTTTAGTCATACATAATCTTTGTATGGGCGGTGGGCGTGGTTATTATCCGATTTCTTCCGTTTTTGAACTGTATATGGAAATGCCTGAAGGAAACGACT